TTCAGCTTTGTAGTTCTTATTCTTTTGTTTCTTCGTACAACTCAGATGTCTCAGTAGTGATTTTTTTTTTTGCAGCGAGAGAGGATAAACTGAGTGCAGATAATAGGTCAACCGTGAGCAATTTTCAAGCAGAGCTGACTCAGCAGCTTAGTTCCCTTTGTGACACACTGACCATATCAGTGTCTCGACAAAGTGATCACCTTCAATGTGTCGAGAAACTCTGTAACACTTTTCTTGAAGTACACGATAAGGTTCTTACATTTTAGCAAGTTATTTTAAATTGTTCATTTCTCCAACTTATGATCTCTGCTCCATTTTTCTTTTTTTTTGAGAGCATTTTCCCAAACTCTATATACGTTCTATCTATTTCTTCCAACACAGTTTTCTTCGTCTTTAAAATTTTGCTCACAGGCTGCTATAGATTTAAAGAAGAAAGTAAATTCTTCGAGGGTATTGTATATCTCTCACTTTGAGGCTGTACAAAATGTGGCGCGGCTGCATAAAGCTAGCAGTAATGCTGCCTTAGAAGAAGTTTCAGCTTTAGCTTCTTCGAATTCACGCTCCCTTGAAGAAGTAAGGAACGTAAATTGTTTCACTGCCTGAACTATTTTACCATGTTTTGTAAGTATTTCTCACATTTCCTTTTTAACAGTCTTTTGTGTAGTTTTTAGCTGCAGGTGCTGTTGAAGCAAATTCAGTTTTTGATGATCTTCAGGATGCTTTATCAAGTCACCGTGGAGAAACAGCACATTTGGCTAGAGAGCTTCGCCAGGTATGCATTATATACACTAGTAGCATCTGGGTGAATATGATGCATTAAAATTTCATGTTTATCAGTTGAATGAACACAAACAGAAATTAGTCAATAATTCAGTTCTTTTCATAAATTTGTAGAGGGCAGTTGTTTTATTATTCAGCAACTTGTGGTTTATTTGTCCAACTTTTCAGTGAATCCTTTAATTTTGATTTCCTGCAGAGATTTACATCTAGTATTGAGCATTTGATGAATACATCAGAAACCATTCATGAATTTCTTGACAAGCTTTTTGAAGAGTCAAAAAGCCTCGAAAGGCATGCAATTGAGGTTGATGAAATTCAAACGAAGAGTATTATTGAGTTTCAGAAGGCTTACGAGGTACATTATACTAAATGTCAACTCTAAGTATAATTTTCTCTTGTTTGGCTGAACATTTTGATTTTAATGTCATTAGGAACAATCGAGATCTGACGCAGAGAAGCTTATTGCTGATATGACCACTCTGGTCTCTGTTTGCATGCGTCGTCAGAAGGACATGGTATTAAGTTATGTTATTTGTTTCTCTAATGTATTCTTTTTTCTCCTATAGATATCTAAACAATAGATGACAGGTGGATGCAAGGCTTGGAGATATCAAGGAAAGTGTGATTGGGAATAAATTGTTTATGGACGGGCATGTTTCATCAATGGAAGGAATTGCAATGGACCTAAAAAGGAAATGGCAGGATTCTTTTAAGCTAGCAGAGAATAACTTCAAAGACAGTGCTGACTTCTCTGCTGCCAAGCATTGTCGCATGGAACTACTTTCACAGAAATGGTGATAACATACTATAGCTGTGTTTTTGACCTGAACTTTCTGTTTTAGTTTTGAAATACACAACTCTTGTGATTTACTATCTATGCCCTTTTCTCCCTCTATCTTGCCTTTATTTGGTTTTGATTCTCATGCACATTCTCTATCTAGTGCAAACACTGTCGAAACAGCTCTGAAGCAGTGGCAAAGAACCCAAGAATCTTTGAATGACATGGGAAGTCAACATGCATCAACAATTGCTTCACGTGTAAGGTTAGTCAACATACTTAGGAGGCTTTCAGTTGGCAGTACCATATAGCTTCTGAAAAATGAACAAAATTCAACAGCTATTACTGTATTTTAGCACTAGCACGTGCTCTTCCATATCCCTTCAAATTTCCCGATTTCAAATAGCTGCAACTGTCTGTTTTCTTCTAAATTACCTGTATGATGCTTATTCCTTAGAGAGCCAAATTTGTGCAATCATATCCAATTGTTTCGACTTTTTGTTTTAGGAGCATTTGTGAAAGTAATGAACAACATGATACTGAAATTGACTCTGCAAGGGTTATGGCTGAAGAAGATATGACAAAGCATAGTGAAAACATGATCCAGTGTCTTGATAGTAAGTTTTCTAATTTATCTCTAATTCTTCCTGATTTCTGTGAAGAATTTTGCACCAAGTATTATTTTGTTTTCATGTTCCTTCTAAGTACTTGCTGATAGTGTTTAGTACGAATAAATAAAATTTTAGTAACCTTTTATGTTACAGTTTTAGTAATTGCGTTCTTGCATCAACTTGGTTGAGAAAATGCCAAATATTGATAATATGCAATATCATTTTCTTCTTTGTCTCTCTCTCTCTCTCTATTTGTGTGGGTCTACTCTAGTTAGTGTGTCCACGTGTGTTCGTTTTCATGTCTCTGGGAAAGTAAATGTCATCATAGTGTGAAATTGTACGATATGTGTTGGTGGTTACAATGACAAAAGAGCAATTAGAGAACCCTTCACTTAGTTTATACATCACCACTGCTATATGGTTAACTGTTACTAAGGTGGATATTGAAGAGTTTGAAACTTGTAATTAGTTTCTGTAGCTTCGGAATTTCATTTTTTCTCATTAAATTTTGTTTTTGATAAGAACTATTCTTGTTTTTCTGTTTTTTATTTCTCTTGGTTGTTTGAGCAAATCAAGTGTTTTATGAGGATTTACATTGTAAACAATATGACCTTAATTTGACATCAAACTCTCTGATTGTGATGTCAACCTTTTTCTTGCTTGGGATAATACAATATATGATCTTGTTGTATAGAATATACTTGCTGTTTATCGTATGATACGATGTTATTCTAGTCATTTTTGTGGAACCAATACCTTGCCTCTGTTTGGGTAACATAATTAGTAACTTATAAGGAGAAATATTAGTGGGTCTTATGAAATATGTGGATAATAAATGGGTAGTAGTTATGAATGAAATTGATTTTTGTTTTGATCGAAAGCTATAACTTACAATTAAATATAGCCAAACAGAGGCATTATTGTACAAAATATGCTTATATTTGTTAAATTGTAGTTTTCTATAGATTTTATTTAATGAATGTTTTCATGAAAATGTTCGAAAAGAATTTGGACTCTGATCCGCTGAAAAATCAGTTCTCATTTTAGCAGCTGTTGATGCTTGGTTTCTACCATTGGTTGAAAATGAAAAAAAACAGAAAGTAATAATATTATATGTAGAGATTAAAGCATAAATTTATATACAATATATATTTACTTTCCAATATTTTGGAGGGAGTTTAGATGTAGTTCCCATTAATTCCACGTCACCCTGACAAAACACCAAGTATTATTTTTTTTCCAGAATGTTTTAGTACTTCATAAAGTTGTACAATATATCAATAGCTTACAAAACTATTGATGGTAGTGGAACCTTCTTAAATAATATAATTTGCAACTGTAGAGCTGAACTTTTAGTGCATATTTAGCTAGATAATATTTTGAACCCATTCACATAGTTAAGTAATATGAATGCTTCATAAAAGACCGAAGGGTTCTCTTGTAAGGTTTGACACTAGAAGGTGGTTCTAATTGACCTATATGTTTAAAGTGCTACACTGGAATATTTTTCTTAGAATTTATTTGGATTTTTTTAATTGATGCTAATTAGGTTATAATGAAAGGTTACGAATACTCTTTATCCGCTTTGATGGTTGTCACCTCTTTTTTATTTATTATTATTATTATTATTATTATTATTATTATTATTATTATTATTATTATTTTTTGGTTTTTTCGCCCTTTTATGGTATTTGCAGGCATGTCAGAGCAAGAGAGAGTGTGTATCTCGGAAATTAGTGCTACCTCTAGAGCCCATTCAGAGACCCTGGAGTGCCTTCGAAAAGATCATTCTCAACAGTCGGGCTCAATTGAACAGCATTCTAGTGATACTTTCAGGATGAATTATATGGTATGTCCCATCCACATTTTGAGTATGATTTGAGACGGTGATATAACTATTGCTTTAATGTTTAGAGCTTGAATAGTCAACACTACTCTTGTACTGATTTTGTATAGTAACATACAGCTTTATCTTTTCTAGTGTTTTTTCTTCGTCATTCTTTTGTTGCTTCTTTGTGTTACGTTTTATGTATTTTTTTTTTCCATATACTGCCAAGAATGCCAATGAAGTTCCCTTGCAATTTTCTTTATTAAAATCCCGATTTGTATGGATCTATTCAAGTTTCTGAGACTTCACAAGCTCAGAATCTTGGAACAATTTGAATTAATTGATTGGAATATCAACTAGCCAAATTGCATTTTAGGTTTGGAACTTTGAAATCTCAAGGAATAGCTGGCCCTCGCCTTATATCTAGAGCTGAATTATGTGCTTGTTCTGGTATCATATAGCATCAGATGTGTTGTACTATCATAATTTATATCTTCAAGTCAGTGGAGAATGTTAGAACTTTTCTCTTTGCAGTCTGCTTCTGTTAGAAACGAAAGGAACATGCTAAAATTTTCTATATTGCTCTGTTTTTGTACATCAGAATTTTCCCATGGTTTCTGGATCTATGAAATTTATGGTCTCTACCACATTGAAGAGACTGTTCTTCTAAAAATAAATTGCTTAATTTGTGCTCAGGATTATGAGCCAACAGGCACTACACCTGTTAGGTGTGAGCCGGACATTCCCAGCAAAGGCACCATCGAGTCACTTCGAGCTATGCCTATGGAGACCCTCAAAGAAGAATTTCGGGAAAACCATTCTTACGAATCTTTTAGAGTAAAAGAACTGAAGCCGTCCCTTATTCCTCGTTCCCCACTTTCACAAATTAACTAATGATTGTGCATGCTGTATGTTCAATTTTATATTTTGTACTTGTCATGCATAACATTGTTTCTCATTGTGCAAGATACATAGAATGCTAAATGGTTGACAGGCTTACAATTCCAATCCCTGCTGCAGAATCTTATATGGTTATCAAATTGATTAGCAAATCCCGCTTCAGGATCTATCTAAGTTTGTAAATGGAAATAGAACAGCTTGTCGCTATTTTGAGTTCTGTAAAATGTTACCCAATATTTTAAGGAGTAATTTACGTCATTCTTGAAGTTGAAATGCCTTCTCTATTACTTCATTTTTATAAAATACTTGTGCTGGTATCTCTTAGAAGCTTTTAAAGTCATGGAAATTGTATATATCGCAGGTTATACAGCTACTTCTAGGGTATGTGGAGTACATATTGGACAATGGTCAAAATTGTAACTTCCTTTTCTTTAATTTGGTTTGATATTGTCTAGTCTACCATACCGAACATACTACCATTGGATTCACAACATTTTCTCCTTGGGTTTTCTCTATGTTTCTCCTGGCATTCTGCATCCATCTTTCATACTTTCGTTGGTGGAGATGTGACTCTGCCATACCTGCACTGGCATTCCATTGATGCTGGAAAATTTTGGCCTCAGTGCATCTTGCGGGTGCTACCAGACGGCCTTCTGTAAACCTAATATTGGGGCAACCTACCATGAGTCAATGCACTTAAAGCTGGACAAACTGTGTTCTCAATGGGACTAGTTATAAGTTTATGTGAGAAGTTAGATTGGTAGGTTTGAGAAGGTTGTTTTCTGTTCTGTGATGCATTATTGTAATGGTCAAATAGTATTAGGTTTGAGAAGGTAGTTCATTGTTTACACCATGGAGTGAAAAACCTTTTATTTATTTAGGAGATGACTAGATGATTGTAGTAAATTGTTGGTTGACCATTAAATTGAGATGTTGAGTGATCAGAATTTCTAAAATAATCGTGGATTGCACTAGAAATTTTGTTAAGCAAAACTAGGAAATGTTTGAAAAATACATCTCTAATGCAATTTAATTGGAGTTTTGTCGAATTGATGTGTTAGATTAACATCCTGTTTGACTCCAATTATATTCTCATTCTCATCTCATTTTTCACCACATTTTTCGACTGGTGTGGGCCATAGGGTAGACAAAAGAGATAGATTTTCTGACAAAAGTTGTAAGATGTATTTTAAATTTCTTCCTCGCCAAATCTGCCCTTCAATTGGCGGCAAGTGGATTTCAAAAAGAGAGGGGAAGGATGTAAATTACGCAATTGTTTTTGGGGCTGAAATTGTCTATCAATTTTCAACGGTATTATGCCCTTGAAATTTCATCTAAAGTTTCACTGCATGCTGTCAACAACTACTGTTGTGTAATAAGTTTTGTTGTAGAATGAGTTTTGGAGGAAAAATTGGAAAAAAATGGGGCTGAACACGCTAAAATAGATAATAATTAAAGCTCCCTCTAAATTCAAAAGATCTATAGACAAGTTGACTCAATAAAATTCATATTTCTTTTATAGGTTTATTGATTTAGAATGGACAAACAACAACAAACGACTAAAGAAAGCAATCAAGACAAGAGAGAGAAAGGAGTAAGGGGAAGGAAAATTGAGGGAGAGTTTTTTGTATTTTTATTCAATGCTGAAGTGTATGTTAATAGAACTCTCTCTCTTTTCTAGGCCTAAAACTAGGCTTAATATCGTAAAAAAGTTGAGGAAATTGTATGACAATAGGTTTTTAAAAACTACAATTCATAAATCAGCTATAAAATTTATTTATTCACATATCAGTTATTAGTATAATAATTAAATATTAAATATCTCAGCCAAATCCAATTTCAAATCCTAAAAATAATTTCGTCTTCTCACTCTCCTTGTCTTTTCACTCTCTCCACCTATCCACACACCACTTAATCCGACAACGGCGATGGCGATACACTCACTGTCAGAGAGTGGCGTCACACACGACGGCGATGATACCAACTAAAAGGATGGACTTCAACCAAAACTTAAAGGACCAAAACACGATCTGGTGAGTTATGTGGTGGCTGTTTCGATGGAGAACTTGTGATGGGTAACTACTTCGATGAAGAAATTGAGATTTGCAGCAATAATTCGTAGATGCAATTGGGTGGCACCTCTCTGATTTTGTGAAGTTATGGTTTATTGAAATGGGCCGATGGTCAATGTATTGTTCTCGGTCTGCATTAAAATTACCATTGCTGTTGCCACTGAATTACGCCTAATTGACCATTCTTACTGTAGTGGGTGGAGCACCACCTCACATTGTTGGAGATGCCCACGGCGTTGCATGGCGCCGCTGCGACGATAGGTCATAGATTTTTTTGGTTGGTTGGTTTGTTTATTGATTTGAATGTTGGTGGTGATTTGATTAGTTGTTAGTGGTTGTGGTAGAACATTATTTTGGTGGTGGAGGTGGTTGTTGGTGGGTGGAGATTGGATAGAGGTGGTTGTCATAGTTTTTGTTGGTAGTAGATTGGATCTGGTGGTGGCAGCGATGACAAGGTGAGGGTGGTGCATGGTGACAGTGGTTGTGATGATGTTTGTGATCCATTATTTTGTGTATGTGACCAACTATTTGGTTTACTTGTGATAAACTATTTAACTGTGACCTTAAAATTTGAGAATTTGTGACCAACAAATTTAAAATATATGTGATCGATATATAAATTGTGACTTATATTTTTTTATCTGTGACCAATGAAATAAACTGTGACTTATAAATTTTTTGATTTGTGATATCGAAATAACCTATGACAAATATTTAATTAATTAGCTAATACTTGGATTTTGTATTTTGAAGTTTGCCACTTGAAAATTGAATTGTGTATAGTTGACACCTGACTTGTGATTTTTCCCAAAAAGTTGAGGAAACTAAGTCAAAATGTCGAAAATTATGTTGCATGAATTATTAAACGCAAAATTATGATTATTAAAATTTTTCTTTTCATTTCTTGTCATTATCTATATTAGTGTATAAAATTATAAAGTTTAAACTGTGATTATTATGTCAATTTCTTTAGATCATTTTTGACTTGTTATTATGAAATATGAATTTCAAAGTTTGTCTTCAATACTTCGTAAAGATATCAAAAACCTCATCCGACAAGTGAAGAAACATAGTCCGTAAATAAGCCAAAAGAGGTAATGTCAAAATATAAATTTTTTTTTAAAGGGCCAATTTATTGTCATTAAAAAAAAAAGTGACATGTTATGTTTCAATTTTTTGAAAAATATGACAGACACATACACATTGAACTCCAAAAATTTATTGTCTAATTTAAATTGTGTAAAAAAAATAAGGATACGCCCGTTGTTTTATTCGTGTGATAGCATGTTATTGATAACAATGTGCTGTTTCTTGCAAGAATTTAAAGCAGCAATATTAAGAATTATTATAGTAGCAATCGCACTCAAAAGTGACATGGTACGCCCATTTTTGATGAAAACTGACATGATACTTTTTAAGAGTGTTATACCTTAGGTCTTCAAAAAGGATATTTGCCTGATGAAGACATTAATATTACCCATATTTGCAAAAAGAATACAAATGAAATATTATGGCTTTTTTTTTTTTTTTTTTTTTTTTTTTTTTTTTTTTTTTTTATATAGTATTTTTCTTTCAAATTTTTACTTTTTTTTTTAAGTGATAGATTGTCACTTTCAAATTCCAGCACACTAATTCACATTCTTGACAAAAATTGTTATATCATATGACTTTTTAATGTAAAGGCAAAGTTTGAAATCATATTCATATTTAAGTTTTCACAAAAACATTGCATTCATTTCTTTAATGGATCAAAAAAGAATTCAAATGAAATAATTTGCGACTTTCTTTAAAAAAGGTGACAGAACATATCACTTCAAATTCACCGCCCTTAATACATATGTAAAGATAAATAAAGTGTTACATTATATCACTTTTTTAACATAAAGCAGTGTTTAATTTCGTATTCATATTTATAATTTCACAAATACCTGATCTCTTTAATTTATTCAAAAAACTTCATATTAGATAGTCTGCAACTTTCTTTGAAAAAAGTGACAAAGCACGTAACTTTCAAATTTTGGCACATTAATTCATATATAAAGACAAATAAAATATTAAATCATGTCAATTTTTAATATAAAGCAAAGTTTGAATTTTTGTCACTTTTTATTTTTTAATGTAAAGGCAAAGTTTGAATTCATATTCATATTTAAATTTTCACAAAAATATTGTATTAATCTCTTTAATGGATCAAAAAGAATTCAAATGAATCTGCGACTTTCCTTATAAAAGTGGCGAAGCATGTCACTTCAAATTCACCACCTTAATACATATGCAAAGACAAATAAAATAGTGTTCTATCATGTCACTTTTTAATATAAAGCAATGTTTAATTTCGTATTCATATTTAAAATTTCATAAACACCTTGTATATGTCTCTTTAATTTATTGAAAAAAATTAAATCACGTCAATTTTTAATATAAAGCAAAGTTTAAATTTTTGTTATTTATTATTATTATTATTATTATTATTTTTTTCTGAATTTCTAATAGAAGAATACATCTTTGACCATGCTTTCAATTGGCTTATAAGAATTCCTTTTATATTGTGTTAACTGTAAATTAAATTTTTATGATTGAAAAAGTGACATTGTATGTCATTTTTTAACTAAAAATTCTCATTTGACTTTACATAGCATTTTTTACTTCCAAAACACTATTATGATTTTTGAAAATGCTCCTGATTTTAAGGGTATTTTGTAAGTTATCTAAAAAAGTTAGGAAGGTAACAATCACTAATGAATCGGTCACATGTACAAATCGAATGAGAAAAAATGGGTGTAAAATTCGATAACCGCTCTGTTCTAGAAACCATTGAACTGGTCACAATTTCACGGGTTCAACAACACAATTTTTATAAAAGATAAAAAATTAAGAGTAGGGTAATGAACATGAAAGGAAAGGTTTGCCCCTACCATTTCTTCGATTTGTGATAGAGGATGAGCAACCTGCACGAATTTGAACAAACAGCTCTATTAGAATTTAGATGTGAACAATGAGCAGGCTGTTTAAACTATAGGAAAATTTTGATATATATAACCCATAAAAAAATAAAATTCCTAAATTATACTACATCATCTTCTTTATTCTCAAATTACTTCATTTCATAATGAAATACTTCAAAACAACTGGATTAAATTAATGACATTATTTTTGGTAATTGACTTCAATTAAAATACAAAACAAACAAAACCCATGGAT